TAAAACGGGGCCCACCATGTGCGACTAGAATCTAGATCAGCGAATCGTAGTGAGAAGAACCTTTTTGGTGAATTATTTATTCACACCGGATTTTTAGCCGTAATATAAAGGGAAAAGTGCCGATTCCCCGTAAATTTTCGAGCTTTCGCTTATTTTTACGTGATCTATTAAGTTAAGCCAAAACTTCCATGAATTTGATAGTATTTTAAATTTCCTCCATCATCTATTAAGAAGTATGTGAATTTCCGGTTATCGCGAATTATGTGTTGGCGGATATGTTCGTTGGCTTTTCTGCTTCGAAAACGACTTGGGTTGAAGCGAGAAAGATTCTAGCTTGGAGCTTGAGTGATACAGGAAGGTTTCATTCATATTGATAATATATGCATACAATTTCATATCTAACTTCTCGCGGCCGCAACAAGAAGTCGTTGATCTAACTAAACTCGTCAGGTTGCTGCAATTATTTGACTGAAAAGATTATTGTACTCAACATATAGTAATATGTATTTAAATTTATTAGAGAACTTTAGGTGAATCGATGATTACAAATCTAATTATAAACAATTCACCATTCGGCCTGCTAATAAGTCGTTGGCCTCGAGATGCGCCACGTCAGTTTTACATTTCCCTACGACTTATAAACGATTTTTTTAATACGACAAGTAACTTTAGATTCCACACTAACGTTTTATATTGTTACTTTATTTTTGTAGCTATCGGCAAACAAATAAAAAGTGTGATTCTTTTTAATCTTTTTGTAGCATTTGATCGACAAATGTTAGTGAGATGAATCAAATCAATGGATGGAATCACTATTAGGGTCGGTTACCAAAGTGAAATCATTTGCATCCGTCGCTAATTATAAGTAAAATAAATTTATATATATTGGTTTTTTTTTGTAATGTATTCATTGCCATCCACTAATTTAATTTTTACTGTGTAACTTTATTTTAGTAAATTTCTTTTTAAATTCATGTTTAATATTTCATTTTAGACCACGCAAATATGTTGATTAAGTCCATTTGCAAAAATCATGTTTAATATTTCACTTCAGATCTTGTGATTTATTACGAGTTCTCTTATACTATAATGGATTAGTTGATGTGTTTGCTAAGCAAATATACAAAGCGAAAGAAACCTTACCAATTGTTTGGTAGTTAAGTTTGAATTATATGAATATCAAATCCATGACATCAATTCTCACTATGTATTGATTGGTTTATGAAGCTATAAAACTCCTCCTTTGCTATCTATATACATAAATAAATTAATATTTTATGATTAACCAATCCTCTTAGCTTTTGCTCGGAAACTCCTCGCTGTAAACAGCTAAATATATATAAACTAAAAAAACATAAATAAGGAAAATTTGTAGAAGCCAAAACAAGATTGCTTCTCGAAAATTCTAATGGAAAAATAAAATATGAAAGAAAAATGATCGTGGTCCAGCTTTTGATGAGCTAATTGGCTTCATTGACAAATTAACATGACATTTATATATGGTGCGCCGGCTTCAAATGGAGACAAAACGTGTCATGTTAATATGCATATGACATTTCATGTCATGATGCTGATCATGGTGATGGTGACATGACATAGTATAGATTCCATGCATGTATGGTCATTATTATAAAAGCACGAGATGGACTACATAACTTAGTTTCCCATAATTATTATTGTCCATGTAGAACGAAAGGCTCCAAATGATTGTGGTGGTTATGGCGTTGCGGACAATGTAGCATTAATGCGATTATCGCACAATATGAAGCACGGGTACGGTATTTAGGTCACGTACCAAAAACGTTCCAGAGACGGATATGATTTGGAGACGGCACCGAAACGTTTTGGAAACGTTCCTAACATGTTGGGGACATCGGCATTGTCGGAGACGGGATCTTTCGAATTTGGAGACGTTTCTAAAACATATTAGACTAAAAATTAATGTTTCTATTGTTTGTTATGTATATTAATTATTATTTTTCTTCAAATTACGTTACTCCGATCACCGTATGTTTGGTTATCTCTAATACATCTTTCTTTGTAATCTAAGTTCTATTTTAACGTCAATATAACTATATTTTTATTATTATATTGATTGAGTGTTTTTTTTATATTGAGATTTATGATGTAATTTTTTTATAGTTTTATTCACATGTATTTTTTTTAGATATTTATTGACATTCCTATCGTACCTGTATCTATAAATTTTTATTATTGCCGTTTTCTGTCTCCATTTCCAGCCCCGTTTCTTGTCACCATACCCGTCAGACGCATATTCAATAAACGATGTTGATTTAATTTGGTACAAAATATTAATTTATTTGAATTGTAATTTTCGGTAGAAATACATTCACACTAAGACCATTTCAACTGTGGTTAAAACGTTCTACAAAACCTTTTTTTTTTTGGACGGTGTAACCGTCTTAGACGTTTTTTTTCCTTCAAATGATTGACTCGTTCAATATATTTAAGACTACCCGAACAAAATGAATATCAACCATCTAAGACTAAATTAAGCTCTAGTTTATATATTTATCTAATGGAGTGTTGGTTTTTAATTATAAACTCACTTATACACCGAGTAATTGCATTTAAAAAAAAAAAACTATAGTTGAATTGATCGCAAATCATATCCACATAAATCTAGTGTATGTAACAAACTCAATATTCTGAAAAAGAAAAAGATCACGAGAGACAAACTAAAGAAGGGTTCTCTATGGATCAAAAACCATCACAAAACTTTTATTTCGTAAATTAATAATAAACAAAAACAAAGTCAATTGCTAATGGTGGGTGATGTATTCAATAATTGTGTGATGGGAACAATTAACAAACGCATGTGGAAAGGAAATCACATGT